TTTGGCTGCGAATGAGAGTCTTTATGCGTGTGTTAAAGTTTTACCCTTGGAGAGAAGATGATTGGATAGTCGAGGAGTGGATCAGAAAAAGCAAAGTGATAAAGAAATCCCTAATGTATAACTACATATATGTATGTAGGTGCGTAAATCGCCAGGCTCGTTTCGATTGGTTTGCAGTTTGTCCAGGTTCTAGTTCAGCGCAGCTTCAGTTCAGTTCTTTGCCAACTCGTTGTATCATCACATCTGCGGTTGAACCACGATCTGTGCAGGACAGAGGATTACTATTAGTTGTGTAGACATATTTATCGACTCGCGTGTCAGTTGCCAGGGTCCAATTTTGGGTCGCTAATCCTCGAGGTCGGAGTGGTTATAGACTTTTTAGGACACGCAAACGAACTGCCACAAAACGAGAATAAGCGATTATTTTTTGTCAAACTGATTATTGCAAGACGTGAATCGAGAAACTATTTTTAAAGTACCAGTATATATAATTACCGATTTGTTAATTTTAAGACAAACGAGAAACACACTTTTATGCATGACTTTTGATCGATCTATTGTAGGGGTTAAGTGTAGTTTCTTTATGTACATCAGCTGCTTTTGGTGCTAAATCTTGTTATAAGTTCCAATCAAATGAAATCAAATCAAACCAACTCTAGTTACCCCGTCCCCAGTGGGATCCGATTCGTTCCGTATTTCCGAGTAGGAGAGGCGTAGTGTGGAGAAAACCATGTGATGTTGCAGGAAGCAAAGCTAGAAACGAATACACCTACCTAACGATAACAAATCTTCAAGCGATTTGCCGCCAAGCAATGCTATATACAAATACTAGAGATCGTCGCCAGTATAAGATTAGTTTTATGGAGTGCAGACAACAGAATAATCCTAACCTTAAGACAGATCGGAAGCCAAGTATTTTCCAAAACGAAACCAAACACTCTTTATTGGCCCAATGAAACAGAACAGAAATATAGATAATGTTAATGTGTATAGAGATACCCGTTAGTAGAAACCCCGATCCAGGCCCCATGATTTCCCTGTAAAATACCAGTTCGATATCACATTAATTTTACTACAACTATTACTATTGTAAGTACGAAAGTTTTAGCATTCTCAATCATTTGTTTGCAAACATTTCTACGCGAAATAAATCTCTCATTTTATGTTTAAAATAAACTTGCCAATATCTGTGGATCATTTGGATTGTTGTTTAATGGGGAGTTAGTTATAAAACATTTCAAAAAAGGCGTCACGTATAAGATGTCTACTTAAGCGGGAAGGCCATTGATTGCGATAAAGTTATTGACCAAACAGTCAGTTGCCATGGGCGAAATCAATCAGCTATAGGACCAACAATTTTCTTATATTGACTGTCGAACCAAGAAGAGCAATTACATTTTTGTCTAGGTTCCTGTAAAAATGGAATTTATTTTCAAGAAGGAGCGACGCTCCTTTGGAGCCCGCGTCACCTTCGAGGACAAGGACGAGGTGGTGTTCAGCGAGAACTCCAACCCGGAGCTGGTCAAGAACTACATCCTGCAGAACCCCGTGGACCGGGTGACGCAATATGCGGGACAGACCTCTCTGAGTGTGGCCAACACGGAGAGGGCCACCTACAAGAGCACGGGGATCACCCACAACGAGGGGGGCTGGCCAAAGGACATCAACATGCACGATCCGGAGCAGACAGTGAGGTACAAGCGGAAAATCGAGAAGGACGAGAACTATATCACACAGGTGATGAATCTCACCAAGCCCATGGAGCACTACATCCACCAGAACAATGCGGTGAACATCTATGAGAACTATTTCGAGAACCTAGACCCCGCTCCACTGCCCGAACCCTGTAAGTCGCGCACGGTCAATGTCTACCGGGACCCCAATCCCATCAAGGTGCCGGTGAAGCATCTGTCCTGGTCGCCGGATGGCGGCATTAAGATGGCCGTGAGCCACTGCGACATGCGCTTCCAGGGCGACAAGTCCAACCAGAAGTGCAATTCGTACATCTGGGAGGTGGAGAACCCCAACGAGCCCTTCCTCACCCTGGAGCCGAAGGTACCGTGCGTGTGCCTGGAGTACAACCAGAAGGATCCAACAAGCCTCGTGAGTGGCATGTACAATGGTCAGGTGGCCGCCTGGGACACGCGACATGGCAAGCACCCGGTCATGATCAGCGAACGGGAGGTGTGCCATCGGGATCCAGTCAACTCGGTGCTGTGGAACAACTCAAAAAGCGGCACGGAGTTCTTCTCCGGCGGCTCCGATGGTCAGGTGCTGTGGTGGGACACCCGAAAGCTCACCGAACCGCTAGACCGCCTGCTCATGGATCCGGTGAAGAGTGACGACCAGGATCTGTCGCGATCCTACGGCATATCGGTGCTGGAGTACGAGACCACCATACCCACTAGATTCATGGCGGGAACCGAGATGGGCATGCTCTTCTCCTGCAACCGGAAGGGCAAGACGCCCACGGAAAAGATTCAGATACGGGTACGGTTTTCTCCCTCTTTATTTTCTCTAAAAAATGTTCCCTTCCCACAGATGATGTGCCACCTGGGCCCCGTGTATGCCATCACCCGGAACCCGGCCTTCGTAAAGAACTTCCTCACCGTGGGCGATTGGTGTGCCCGGATCTGGTCAGAGGATTGTAGGGAGAGCTCCATTATATGGACCAAAAGCAGCAGCTCCATGCTAACCGACGGCGCTTGGAGCTATACCAAGTGAGTCTAGAAACATTTAAAAATGTTAAAATAATATTATTTTTTCATTATTTTAAGTTATCTAAAGTTACTCATACTTTATTATACATACAAGACCTTCGGTAATCTAATAAAATGTATAAACAATACTATTTGTTCCAGGGTTTCGCAGTTCTTTATCACCCGTATGGATGGGGTTCTGGACACTTGGGATCTTCTGCAGCAACAGAACGAGCCGGTCCTCACGGTCAAGGTGTGCGACGAACCCCTTTATTGTGTCAGGACCAACGAAAACGGCAAGTTTGTAAGCTGTGGCAGCCAGTTAGGTGCCACCTTCCTCATCGAGGTCTCCGACAACATGGTGATGTCGGCCAAGAACGACAAACCACTGCTTACTGCTGTAAGATTGGCATTTAAAACGATCACAATCGTAATTTTGATCAAATATACATATTTTCGGCAGATGTTCGAGCGAGAGAATCGTCGCGAAAAGATCCTGGAGGCCAAGTCACGGGAGAGCAAGCTGAAGGTGAAGGCCAACCATGGTCAGGACCAGGGCGACACAATGATGATCAACGGAAAGGTCAATATGGCTCCGTTCGAGGGAGCCTGCGAGCAGGCAGCCTCTGAATATTTTGCAGCCGTGGAACAGGAACGCCAAAGGCGACTGCCCGGCGGAAAGCGTAGGTGAACGAAGGCGGTTTTTATTTGTAACTATTTACCTGGAATTCCTATTAATTCAATTGTGATATTCTTAATTACAGAGGATGCGGAGGAGGTTGATGTGTCCGAGGCAGAGAGCTCAAAGTTGTAAAACTCCCATTAAACTATAAAATTTTCCTGGTCAATGTAATAAAAGGACGTTGTAAAGAATATATTCGTATAAAAGGCTTAAACAAGAACAATGGCCTCAACTTTTAGACACCCGTTACTCAGCTATAGAGAGTGCGGGAGGGATGAACATATGCTTGCTTGTGGCTAGCGCTACCTAGCGCCACCTAGCCTGTAACACCAGCTAGCACATAGCGCGCCTAGCGGTTGGTTGCATATTAGTAAAAACAGCTGATTTGCTACATGTGGTGAGCAATCTCGATTGAATTTGCAAAATATTGAATTTTATGAGGTTATAACTATTAATTTAAAGGTCCGATTTCACTAACATGATAATGAGAAAAAGCTATGATTTAAATTTCTACAATATATTAAAAAATGTGGCCGCTGGACGGATTTTAGTATTATGGACGCATGTGGGCGCTAGAGTGGGCGTGGCACCCTGCTCTGCGCAGGAGGCCCAAGAATCTGCATACCATATGCATATTCATTCATATTCTCATTTTATGAGGTTGTATATAAAAAATTCTTACTTGAGAGTAAGTTTTCAAAATATTTTAAATTTACTTTTGGGTTGTATAATTATACCCGTTACTCGTAGAGTAAAAGGGTATACTAGATTCGTCGGAAAGTATGTAACAGGCAGAAGGAAGCGTTTCCGACCCTATAAAGTATATATATTCTTGATCAGGATCACTAGCCGAGTCGATCTAGCCATGTCCGTCTGTCTGTCCGTCCGGATGAACGCTGAGATCTCGGAAACTATAAGAGCTAGGCTATTGAGATTTGGCGTGCAGATTCCTGAGCTTCTTACGCAGCGCAAGTTTGTTACAGCAATGTGCCACGCACACTCTAACGCCCACAAGCCGCCCAAAACTGTGGCTCCTACAGTTTTGATGCTAGAATAAAAATTTTAACTGAAATGTATTGTTCTCATCAAAACCTATCGATTGACCCAAAAAAAGTTTGCCACGCCCACTTTAAAGCCTACAAACCACCCAAGCCTGTGACGCCCACAATTTTCATGCTAGATAAAAAATTTTAACTGAAATGTATTGGTTTCGTCAATACCTATCGATTAATCAAAAAAAAAATTTCCACGCCCACTCTAACGCCCATAACGCTTAAGTCTGTCTACCGCCGGTAGGTGGCGCATTTTAATCTCCCTTTGGTCCCTTTAGCTAAGTAACGGGTATCTAATAGTCGGGGTACTCGACTATAGCGTTCTTCCTTGTTTTATATTAAATAACATTTAAAAAAATTATTATCAAAAAGCATGTGCAAAAGTTTGGTAATAGTTTAAAGTAGAAACTCAAGAGGTATAGAGGTTATATTAGTTTTTTTTAATCGTTCCGATTTATACCCGTTCCGAATTGTTGATTGCGATACAAATGTATTTTGAACGCAGCTGTTTGCTCAACATATATACATACATATTTGGGGTTAGAAATATATCAAGAATGCGTGACGAGTCAGTTTGAACTGGGGATTGAAAGAGTACACTTCATAAGTTTAGTTCTGATTTGAAACTTTTATATTAATAGTAATTTTATAAAAAAAGGTTTGATTTGCTAAAAAAAGTACAAGTGATACAATTCAAGGAAAGTTTCGTATTCCTTTAATTCTCTCTGTGAGTCACTACTTGTATAACACTTTTATCCACCATTTCATAGTAAATGTGATAAGAAATATTGATTCCCAAAGCATCTAATGTGTGCGAGCGATACGCATGAATATCCGTAACGTGATAAAATAAACCCCTTTATAAAAAATAACGCAAATGGCAAAAAAAAATATATAACATAATTCTAATTCAGTTTCATATTTTTGTTTAAGAGAAACGAAATCTCAACGAAAGCTCAACCAAAAAAATGGAAGAGTATGGCATACTTATTCTCAACTCCGATTGCCTCGTCGAGATAATGAAACACATCATTCAGGAATGCGAGTTAAATAATGATGAAGATATTTCAAAGTACGATAATTTAGTTAACTTTGTGTTGGCCGATGGTTTTTTGGTGGAAGTTTTGAAGGAGTATTTTAAACATATTTACGAGTTTCTCGAGTCTTCTCTAAAGTGCAGAATTGTAGTTCTTTTAATTAAGCTGCGACTCAATGACTTATCAAATAAGTGCTTATTCTGGAAATCCCTCCTTCAAGTTATCAAAAATACAGAAAACAATCTACTTTTTGATGTTGGACTTTCCTTTCTTCTCAATGAAAACATATGTGACCATATTCAAGTAACACTTAACATTGAAGGTACGTTTTGAAAATACTATTTGCCTTGTAACTTACTCGAAGTGTGCATCCAACCACTTGGTAATGTAAAAAATAATTTGTATCTTTTTAAAGGAACCTCAGAGGGACTTAAACATGAGGAAATTATCAATATCAGTAGAGGCGAAAAGGTTCCTGCAGAAGCCTTAGTTGACATCTGCATGTCGACTCCCATGATGAAAAAGTTGATGATTGAAAGCACAGCAATTAGTGGAGAATTTTCTAATGTAACTCCACATTGCAAAAATCTTGAGGTGCTAGTAATTTACATGGGACCCGAAAGCAGTGTCGATCAATATGCACCGTTTGCCAAACTGCCCAATTTACAAGACTTATTTATTTTAGCAAGAAAACCAAGAGCTCCGTGGATATTTTTCAATGGTTCAAAAAAATGGAGCAGGTCTGAAAGTCTGAAGCCTTTAAAGATGAGCATAGGAGGTTGTTTTACGAATTCAAGTCGGTCGATTCAGTTCACAAATTTTGATTCATTTGAGCAATTGGACATTTTCGACAATGATGATTCCACCATAAATGTTTCTGCGCTATACAATTTAAGCGAAATATCAGATGATTGCAATTCCAAAGAGGAATCTCTCAAAACGTTTACCTTAAAGGAAAATGTCAGTATTTCATTTGACAAGAGTGATGGAAAACTTAACTTTTTATTAACTCAAGATAAATCGGACTTGAGCCAATTTGAAGTAATGTGGGAGTTACCTAATATAAGGCACTTGCTTATAAGTAATGGAGGCATGAGAAACGAAAACGCGATGACTAGATACAATCCAATATCTCTCGGAAATCTATTTCGTCCAAATGCTTCATCGGCTCTAAGATCGTTTATATTAAACGATTATGAACTAGACCAATTTGGAGCCAAAGAACTTGCGAAAATAAAAACTATACGATATCTGTTGTGTTCTTTAACCGATTGGAAGTCGATCGAATTCATAACTCAACTCAATAACCTCCAGCACGTGGTGATCGAAGTTCCGCAATGGTGCGATACTGCTGCAACCGGAATTTTGAGTCTGATGACCAGCAGCCAAGTAAAATCTGTCGTATCCTGCAGTGCATTTCGTTTTAGTTACACAAAGAAGGAACAAATTCTAGAGGTTCACATATCTGCTGGCTGTACGGCCGATATGTTAGCTCCCCTCGCCGAACTAAATCGCATTACAACTTTGTTGATCACAGAAGATCCGAAATCAAGTTCCAAAGATGCCCTGAATGCACTTTTCGAAGCCTTCGCCTCCAAAAAGGCAAGTTGTATCGAAAAATTGGATATTTCCAAATTAAAAATAACTAAATTTGAAGATATTCATAACATTACAAAGATCCAAACCATTATAGAACTGAAATGTTCTTTCTTAAATTCAATTGGCATTGAAAACTTGGCCGAACTAAATAGTCTCGTGGACTTAAAAATAATAAAAACCTGTCTAAAACAAAACTTGTCCGTACTTTTCAAAGATTTAGCTGAAAAGAATAAAATTCAGTGTCTACAAATCACTCAAAATCATCTTTTACCTGAAGAATTTGTTACGGTTTCCCAAATAAGATCACTGAGGAGACTGGAATGTGGCTTTTTCAACTTGGAAGATAGACAAGCCTTGTCAAATCTAGCTAACTCCCGTATTGAAGAATTAAAGGTATTTCCTACAAGAAACCTTCTAAAATTATTATCAGCATTTGCATTACCTAGTACATCAATTACGCAACTGGAAATTGTAGACCATACCCTTCATAGTTCAGAAATAGCTGAGATTTCACAAATAAATGGACTAAAAATACTATCTGTCTCATTTTCTGATTCAAAGACAGCTGCAGAATTTAAAGATTATTTACAAATTGAAAGGTTTATACATGGAGAATCTTTGGAGTTCCAGTCGCTAACTTCTCTTCATAAATTGGATGTGCAATTCCGGATTGGCTCCAAAGAATGTGCCTACCTGGCTCAACTTGAATCGTTGGAATCATTAAAATGCTTATTGTACAATGAAACAGGACTAGAAGTCCTGGCTAATGTGAAAAACCTGAAAGAACTAATTATTGAAGAAGCAGAGGGTTCACTTTGTGAACTTTATCGGGCTTTTGCTCCAAAATATGACCCAGGTCTACAGAAACTCCAAGCAAGAATTACATGTTCTGATGAGATTGGTGAAATATCGAAAATTAAATCCTTGGTAAACCTAAGTATCAAAACCAAAAAAGGATTTAAAAATATACAAATAGCAAAGCTAGTTAAACTAACAGAACTTAAATCATTAAACATAGTTGATTCAAATTTGGTCTCAAGATTGGATACCCAGAGCGCGTTAATGATTTTTCAATCTTGTAAAAAGCTGGATTTTGTTTCGTTTACATTTACTACCATAGCTCATGACAAATTAGTATGCGAAGCTTATAGCATTTTGAGAACTGGAAGGGATTCAAGTCATCAACCTCCATTACAACTTACTCTATCCAAAAATGAAGATCACCTGGAGTTCTACGTAAGTAGAAAAACGAGAAAACATGACGGAGATTAAAAACTATCATTTTCAGGCGGATGACATTGATGAAGCGTACTTACAGGTTTCCTATGAAAGATTATATTTCAAAAACACTTTGATGCTCTTTGATTAAATGAATGTTGAATAACAACAGCTTTTTATGATTTTTTTATATAGTTTAATTAATTTAAAAAGAAAAAATAAAAACGCGATTTTTAAAAAAAACCGCCTAAAGGAATGCGCCTTGTTTTTCAACACTTTCAAGTTCCAGTGTTGGGTACAACTGGTTCCTTAACCCGATCCAGTTCCAACCGTGGCTCACAAGTTCTCGAACCAATTGGACCAGTCAGCTGTTGCCATTCGACATTCACACGCGGGATTGAGAAGAAATTAGTTAAACCTCAGTAAAAGACGACAAAAACCCTAAAATTGTAAGTAAAATATAAAAAAGAGATATATGAAAGCAGATGATAGTTTAAATAATACGCTGTGCTAGAGATAATAATAACCATAGCAACAATTTGGCATCAGCTGTGCGAGTAGTAACCGTGCCAGAGTTACACTTGGCTACAAACTGCAGGGTTAAGGGCAAAACATTATCTGTGCCAGTGATATAATGATTAATCCATGTGGAATCCAAGAATCTAGAGTGAAAGTCCAGGTTAACTACTTAAATTTACAGTAATTTCTACCATTTCAAGACTGCACAATTGTAATTAGCGGGTCAGGTAGCAAAAGTAACCCGTTCCGTGTTGCATGGTGTGCGGCCTACGTGACTCAGAAACAGTTATCAATGGCGCAACACATACGGAAAGTTCAGTGACCAATTTCTGTGCAGCAGCCAAACGCGAAACGCAACCCCTGAAATTCAGACTGCGTCTAACGTCCAACTGATAAAGGTATCGAACGATCCGAGTCCGCACAGTATTAAATAGTAGAATAATAGTGCTGTTTTTATTAACTAAGCACCTTCCACGGGTAAGACAAAAGGCCATTCAGTGAACTCTATATATTTGTGTTGAAAGTAATCAAAAAGAGCAATTAAATATAGTTCCAGTTTAAAAAAATATTAAAAATGCCAACATTTAAATATAATTTTTGTGCCTATTAACACCTTTTTGGCTAATCTATCCCAACGACTTTTAATTAATAAATAATTTTAAAAATGTTTACTAATCCATTTACCGAATCAACCTTATCGACATGTGCTGCACTTACTGTTTACTATAAAGAACCCAGTTTGTTGTGATTTATAATTGCCAATTGCTAATTCAGACCTTGGCGCCGCTCCGATTTGAAAGTGCCCGTTTAAAAGTGTTTCCCCAAGGCGGGGCCGTCCGCCCATTAAGTGAGTCACTCACCTGGCGTGGGCTAATTATAAGAATTTGGGTTTGCTTTTCCGGTTTACTGCAGTACAAGGGGCCGGTCCTCCCCTTCCATTCCATTCAGCAGTCACGTACGCCAGTCGCATCATCCAAATTCATCCAATGCGCTGTCTCTTTGTTCATTGTTTATTTGCTGAACCCATCACCACACAAACAAGTTCGAATCCGAATCCATAATTTATACATAATCAAAACAATATTGACCTTAACGTGTCTTTTCAAAGTATTGATAGCATAATGCTAATGCGTATTAGTTTAATTCTTAAGCATTTTAATATGGAGGTTAATGACCAAATAATTTAATAGGTAATGTTCTAAAAAACAACTGGTTGAAGAAATCAATTTTAATTAAGTTTTAGTTACCGGAGAAAAGAAAAAAATCTTTTGATCGAAGTAACTTGGTTCTTAAAATTCTTTTCATTGAAAGAAAACTCATTTTCCGATTTGGCCCTATACTTTTCCAGCACCATGTTGGACGTGATCCAACCGACCAGCAATATCCCGACCAGCGATAGCACCGATGTGGTGGTGGTCCGGGCCAGGCCCAAGAAGGTGTTTAAGCCGAAGGCGCGAATCAATCGGATTCCACAGGAACTGCTCGATGATCCACTGCTGCAGCAGGCCATCGACCGTCTGCCCTCGAACTACAACTTCGAGATGCACAAGACAATCTGGCGGATACGGGAGATGAAGGCCAAACGGGTGGCGCTGCAACTGCCGGAGGGCCTGCTGATGTACGCCATGGTCATCAGCGACATCGTGGAGCGATTCACTAGCGCAGATACTGTGATAATGGGCGATGTGACTTACGGAGCCTGCTGCGTGGACGACTATACGGCCAAGGCATTGGGCGCGGATCTGCTGGTGCACTACGGCCACAGCTGCCTCATTCCCGTGGATCAGACGTGCGGCATTAAGGTGCTGTACATTTTCGTGGATATTAAAATTGATCCACTGCACTTCCTCGACTCTGTAAAGCTGAACTTCCGTCCGGATGTGGGCCAGATAGCTTTGGTCAGCACAATTCAGTTTGTGACCACGCTGCAGGCTGCATCTACGGAGCTGAAAGCAGCCGGTTATGATGTGATAGTGCCTCAGGCCAAGCCACTAAGTCCCGGAGAGATTCTGGGCTGCACATCGCCCCAGCTTCCGGAGACGGCGAAGATGATCATTTACCTGGGAGACGGGCGTTTCCACCTGGAGTCCGCCATGATTGCAAACCCGTTGCTGAAGGTATGTATTTAATACTGTAACTGTTAGAAATTTACTTTATATGCTTCCTATTCCCTTTCAGGCCTACAAGTACGATCCATATGAGAAAAAGTTTACCATAGAGCAGTACGACCACGCTGCCATGCAGAATATTCGCTTAGACGCCGTACAGCGCTCTAAGAAAGCGCGGCGCATCGGAATCATACTGGGAACACTTGGAAGACAGGGCAGTTCAAGAGTGCATCGTTTTTTGGAGAAGCGACTGCACGCTAAGGGCATAGAGACCACCACTCTATTGCTGTCGGAGATATTTCCTCAGAAATTGGCTCTTTTCGCGGACATCGACGCCTTCGTGCAGATTGCTTGCCCGCGTCTCTCGATCGACTGGGGATCCGCCTTCACCCAGCCGCTGTTGAATCCTTACGAACTGTCAGTGGTCCTAGGTGACGTCGAGTGGACGCCACACAACTCGTCGCCACGCAATAATGCCTACCCGATGGACTTCTATGCTAGCGGCAGCCTGGGACCCTGGACTCCCAACTTCAAGCCACCTGCGTTAGGAGAGTGCGAAAACAAACCCTCGGCCGATTGCTGCGGCCGCTGCACGCGGGCTGAACTGGAGAAGGACGATTCCGGCAAGGCGGCAGCTCTGGACGATCTTCTCGACTTCAAAAAGGGATAAAAGATCTGTCCGTCACGCTTCCACCAGCCCACAGAGCCCTCCATCTCAAGCGATCAGCCCAGATCGTCTGCCCAAATATAATGCTTACCTACTAATTTAGTTAGTACAAATTTGGTTTTTAAGTTATCACTTTAGGTTATTTTTGTGTTCATCACACCTAGGTTCATAATTTTAATGTTCGCAGAATCGTGCTTTAGTTTAGTTAATAGCTGTATTTTCAAATGAGATGCAATTGTTATAGTAACAGCAACGATGTACACATCTTTAACATTAAAATAATGTTTAAAACGGACATATAACTATTTAAATATAGCAAGGCTTGTTATATATATTTTATTAAAAACAATTCCATATTCCTTAGCAAAAGGACGGGGGACATAACAAATTATGCGAAATATAATAGGCCATCATTTCATTCTATAATTTTATTTTTCCTGAGGTCCTGGATTCTTAAAGCTAAAAGCTCTGTGAACCAAATACTGTTGGTCTTGTGTATTGATTGAAACTTTAATCGAAATAATCCTGTTAAAGTTGTTGTTTCAGTATTTCTATATATTAGGTGTTAACAATTTTAAGCTTTCATTCGATTTGTTAGCTTTATGTTGTTAAGAGAGTACCTATTTATAACAATATTAAAAACTTTCATTAAATTGAAAGGTTTTTGGATACTGCCTTTCGCCTTAAAGGAAAATAAAATTGTTTACTTTTTAAATTTAATTTTATTGCAAGAATATCACTCATATTTATATGTACAATTACTTCAAGAATTCTCTAAAATATGTACAATTGAACTAAAATACAGGCAACTTTTTTTTTGTGATAATTTTTTATGTTTTTGTTTGTATGTATATACAATTGGTCTATTGAATTGGCTACAAATTTGCTATGGGAATTATATACAATTTCGCTACTAGGACTAAATGGGCTAACTAGGTATATACAATTGTGATGATGTATATATACAATTGAACTAGAACATTAACTAAAATGTACAATTGGTTATAGAATTTACAATTGTCTAAATTCGGCTAATTTGCTGACACTGCAAACTACTGATGATTGGATCCTCAGAGTTGGACCCAGTGTGTTCTTGGTTCGATGGTCTTCCATTCGGTCCTCCAGTTTCGCAAAGATCCAGCGCCAGATCCGTGGAGCTCCGCCAGAAGCTGTAGTCGGTCCGCGATGGATGTTGTCGTTCGGAGAACATCTCTTGCAGTGCAGATCGATTCCAAGTCGACCACTGGTTTTTATACTCTCCCAGGTAGGCAAAATTGGGAAAATTTTAGAAAAATTCCTTGCCTGCCATAATGATTTTGTCCTTGGCGAAAATTACCGCACCGCGATTACCGAAAATTTTCTTGGAAAGATAAACGCGGACACCTACAAAAAATGTACGAGTACCACTACCCGCTAATTTTGTGCTTAAGTAGATAGAAGGGGAAAAGGTGTGGGTAAGTAGGTATGGCTAGGTAGCAAAGATATTTTCCAGAATTTTACCTGTGACGTCTGCTTGCCGAATGTAAAATAAGGGCTTGTTCTTTGCAACCCAGAAATTTAGCAATATGTTTTCCCTTCCTATAATATTATTCGAAAAAAAGTATTTTTTAAAATTTCAAATGCAAATATTTTGTTTAGCCGTGGAAGTTTATTAATAAAAAATGTTTGTCTTTAAAATAAGGACAGAGATAAAAATACAGGAGCATATTTTTAAAAATTAAAACTGGATATTTATACAATTTCATTTATAACTTATAGTAATAATGATTAAAAAGATTCATTAAAAATAATTGTATATTATTTTACCCGATATCTAAAATAACTTCACTTCTATTGTAATAACTAGTCAGTCAAATATTAAGTTCAAGATTGAACCTAACCTTGCTACATTGAATAAATATTTTGAATCTTTTAGGCTCTTATCTTGGAATAAGGGCCTTGAGATTTTGTATTTCAACCATCAACTTTTTGCGTTCGCTTTTGAGAAAAAACACCTCACGTTTTAGAGAACTCCTGGGGGCGTACAAATATTATTAGAAACTGACCATATAGAAAAAATATTAGCATCTTACACTTCATGCTCCAAGTGCTTTACGTAATTGTCGCCGTCTGAATCGATTATCTCCACATGGTCCTTGGCATTCGACTGCGGGTTCAACGGATCAAGAATTTCGACTTCCAAGTGCCTGTGATGCTGAGAGGTGTCGGCATTTTTAGATGGTTGGGAGGACGGACTCCTTTGAGGCGTACTTATCAGCTCCACAACTTCATTGTAATCGCTGGATGAACTTTCATCCAAGTCCACAAAATCTGTGGTAAAGTTACAGAGTTGGATTTCTATGGTCTCATGGGAATGTGGAGATTGCGGCTCCTCCTGGAAGGATTCGGAATCGGTATGGGCAATCTTCCCAGATTTTGCTATAGATACATTTTTAGAATCCTTCTTCGTTCTTTCAGCCTTATCTTTGGCCAACTTTTGAGGTCTGTTGAGACTTGGTAGCGAGCCGGGCTTGAGTTTAGTTGGATTTTTCCGGGAAAACCCAAGTTCGTACTGCATATTCCTCTCAAAATCACCGGGTGCAAAGTGCTCGTTGCAAATGCAGGCTGTTTAAAAAGATGTAGTTATAATTTGTTTGCTTTTTACACAGTTGTTGTTAAATAATACCTGTGGCGGGGTTAATACTATCCCGCTGGCAGAAATCCATCCATTTCTGGAGGTGAGTCTCCTCTCTGGGGAAGTGAAAGAATCGCCATTTCCTTCTATTGGAATTACGATTATTATTTCCGCAATTTTTCACAGCACAGCGCATTAAAAATATGTAATTTTAAAAAACTGGGCTCCAAGTAAGCAAACAGCTGATTTTTGACTAGAAAAGTGTCATCACTACAGTGGTTTGAAACTTGACTGTGCATACGGATAACGGATAAAATTATCCGTCCGACAAATCAGCTGTTTTTCAGTTTTAATCTCTTATTTTTGACTTTGGTACCAACTTTTTGTTATTATGTTGAAAAGTAGCAATATAAATAGGTAAACTTGGCAAAATACTTTTTTATTGATCGCATAACGCATAATATAAACCGTCTTAGTGTTCTCAATGAGCTCCCTGACCAGACAGCAAGGGATCAGAAAGTCCAATCCTCCAACAATGGAAACCCAAAACAAGATGCGGATACCTGTTGCTCCTCCAAGGACCAGGATGTCTTGGGCAGTCTAGCCGCCTTGCAATTGTCCGCAGGGGTCCTGCAAATAGCGGAACCTCCTCTAGAACATGTGCGCTCCCAGCTCAGGGAATTGATGTAAGTACTTGGGTTCAGTAACCAAGATTTCTGTGTGTATTTATATGGATATGAAATCTTATTACAGTGGAAGGCAGAACAAAATATACATAGATGTGTCCAAGGAGAAATACAAACTGGACTGCAGCGAAGTTGCCAGACTGAATGACATGGTAAGCTTAAAAGATCAATTGCCGAGTTGTTCAACCTTGTAATTCTTACGAGTCTGAGTTCAAACCACTTTCTGTCAGATTTATTGTAGGTTATCCAAAAGTGCATTTTCTTAAACTCGATATTTTAATATATATATGTACAGTGTACATTGTACACTATACAGCATATGTTAAACGTATGGGCATTTCCACCAGAAAGTCAACGAAGCCAAAAGGCTTCTAACTTATTTAAAACATGTTGCTATAAATTTTTTCCTCGATATGAATTTCTAAGTAGATGGGTTCCCAACTTACCAACGTTTTTTGTTGGAAATATTTAGACCTCCCCTGTTGTTGCTTAATCCAATTTACTAGCTAAACTATTTAATTAGAAGGAAAATAACCATCAATTTGTGTTTTAGGGCAAAGAAAACCACCTACCGAAGTGGTAAAAAATGTAGCGAGCGACAAAATTAAATTTTAAAAAAACTGTTAGCAATTTCTGAGTCTATCCAAATATATTTCACGGTGACATTATTGAAGAGCATTCTAAAAAAGCATTTAAATATTCCATCAGAAATGAGGGGTTGAATGACTCTCCCGAGCGATTAAGATAGTCTTTTCAAGATATTTTAAGAACGAAAAATGGGATAGTCATGATTAATTCACAATGTAGAGAAAAATGTTAAACATTTCATTTTAAATCAATTTGGTTCAATTAAAAGCACGAATGATCCGACCGACTCCCTGGAATTGCATATATGTATATCGCATTTTGAACTATTAAAGCTGATTGTTCAAAATCCTTATTCTTAGCATAAAACAGATGCTTTTGTTACTTTATTTTTGGAAATAGAGACCCCTGTTAATTAGAAAACATGGAATTTTTAAGACGAGGCTTATGTAAGTAAACGTTTTATTTATTTCGTGGTTTCATTTGGTTTGTGTAATGGAAAAATACATTATTCAAGTATCAAGATTGATCAGGCACCAAAACTGTCATGTATACCCAAATATCCAGTTCCATTCCAGCTATTCAGATATCAGTTTCATGTGGAGGTTACAATCAATAATTACGACCAATTAGGGTCATTTCATAAGGCACAATACCATCGCGAAGCTTAAGTATAGGAAAGCTCAGGCAATTAGGTAGTTGGTCAAAATCTTATCAGTGGTGCAGTCAAATGTCTGTGATCACAATCTAATCTAAGGACAAACAGCGGACAAAGTATCATGGCATTATAAAATACAAAGTAACTGGTTTGATTACCATTTTCACTTATGTAGATGAGCGATGTAAAGCGATACAAAGAAAAACTAACAAAGATCAAGAAGGAAATGCAGGGTATCTACCAGCGAACCAAAGAGTTGAAGGTGAGCAATGATTTAGGAAAAAACCCATTAAACAGTAAAAGTAATCAAAAATAAAAACTGTTGATTAAAGCGTTTATTAACTTTGAATGCTGATTACAGAAACGCGCCGCTAACGTGGCCGCTTGCAAGCAGCGTGACTACCAGCGAAAGCTCGAGAGGCTACAGCACGAGGAGTCGCTCATCGGTGGCCATTAGGAGCACTCAATCAGTTAACACCTAACCAGGTGGGTCTCGGATTTTACAAGCTCTACACCTCGTTAAGGCGCATTTACATTGGGATTCCCGTTAACAACTAGTTAACTACTTAACACAGATAACAGTTGAACAAAAGTTTAACCATTTGGATACATAGTAATAATAATAATTGTGTATGTTATAAGAGATGCCTATCGTATGGCTGCGATAAGTCGGAAACATTGTTGTATATTGTTTATAGTTAAGTAAATACTTAAGAGATTTCGCAGAAAAAGGAGCTACATGCACTACGATACACTTAGCTACAAATATTATCTATAAATATACAAATTTGTTAAACATTAAGATGGTGTGGAGAAACAATAGTTGAACAATCACAGCGCCAAGGCAGCTTATTTAAACTAAAATTTACGGTGAACATTGTTTGTAAATACTAGAACATGCAAACAACCAGCTGCGATTGGAATTCTACAAATAATTAAGTTCTCACATCGATTTCAAAGGTAAATGAGGAAGGTTTCGCTTACGCGACATGCACGTAGGTTGCGATCTGTGGGAGTGTGTGGGGTTACTGAGATAAGTTACTACTTAATTAAAGCACGTTTACAATCGATTGAACATGCAGCTTCGAGAGTAGAAAGATGTTCGAGTGGAGCATTCAGTTGAACAGTAGAAGCGGGGCCTCTTCGTGTCGCTGTTGCTGGTTCGTTGGTGATTGGTGTTGTGGGTGGTGATGCGGTCAAAACAAAGATCGCTTAGCTAACTCTAGTATACTCCTGGTCATTCAGCATGTGCATTGCATCTGTCGGTGCGAAATACTTGACAGTGCCTAAAAATATTCAGAAAAGTTAGTGAAACGTTGATAAATATTTAGTAAAATCAATAAAATAAACTGGTTTCTATGGTGGGCAATTACTATTAACCCCAACCTATATTACTACATTACTACATTTTTACATTTTAAAAGTTTACATAGAAAAGTTTGTTATCAGAAAAATAAGAAGGTAATATTAGATTGTTTTTTAAAATTAATTTAGCTCGTTTATTTCCCACTTAAATAAACGCATTCTATTGATATAACGGTTCGGTATTAGGTAATAAATAGAAGTCTAGGTAGTTTTTCTCCGCTTCTATAGAGAATATGAACACACATTTTATTTGTTCAATTTCAGATCACATACAATTAAAATGAAAATAAATATGATAAAATTATCATAAAATCGGTCATATGTTACAAAACTTACTTAATCTGGCGATAGTATTTTAAATTCATTTTGAGCCTTTTGTGTCTGTTATCAGTAGTTAATCGTCAAACAGTTTAAAATAAAATCTTATGCAAGTCTTACAAAGATGGTGGTTTACGAGTGAAATTAAAGTCGGTTTCTAGCTTCGTTTTAAGCACATCTGCCTATCTACAGCATGATTAAAGGTTAATACTTCAGGGAGCTAGCCTTTCAGCAAAAGAATCCCATTTGTACGGGGGTAAAAAATTCATGAAGGGGATCTTGGTCACCATCAACTCAAGTCAACTTCACGGAACCCGTCACCATCTTTATTGTCAGTATTTTTGGGCTTGACAGTCTCCAAGGATGCAGAGGCTGAGGCAGTGGCAGTGGCGGAGGCAGAAGAGACCCTAGCCTTACCGTTTTCGGCGATGTTGCTGTTGCGCTGCAGGTACAGTTGAATGGACACGTGGAGCACGAAAATAATGAAGGCACCTATTCCAAAGATCTCAAAGGTGGTGCGTGCAGAGACCGATTCGAATAGCTGTCCACCGATCAGGCTGCCCATTGAGACACCTACGCCCTCGAAAATCGCTCCAACAAGACTCTGTCATCGGGAAAAATAAAATTATCCAGTGGATCCACTCCCCATAGTCATCTAACCCACCTGCATGGTAGCATCTGTTCCTGGCGGTGCCACAATGCTCGCATAGGAGGCCATTGTGGCGTAAAACAACCCGAAGGTCACCCCGTTCATCAGTTCGATGGGCAGGATGTACCAGGGATTCTGCAGCATCGAGTACAGAATAAATCGCACTCCAAATCCCAAGAGCACAAGACTCATGGCATTTACATGCCCAATCTTCTTCAGAATCCACCCGGAGAGGAAGAAGAATGGCAGCTCGCCTCCAAAGCATTGGATGCCCATGACCAGTCCCTCCAGGGTCTTAATCGAGCTGTCGCACCCTTCGAACGCCTTGTCTAGCTGCTCCAGGTAGATGAACAGGAAGTTCCAGATCAGCGCCGTTCCAAGTCCGATTGCGACGCACCACAAAAAGAAGATGACGCAGCGCACCGAGAGGAACATCTGGCCCACGTCCTTCACAATGTTCGACGACAAATGAGTTGGAGTGTGCTGTAAAGCAAACGAAGGCAGTTATAGGGTTGTTAAAAATTAAAGGGAATCAACTCTATGACTCTGTACTCACCCTTAGCTTGGTTGAGGCGAACACATCGAATCCCATGATGAGTAAGGCCATCCAGAATACGGCCGTGTAGTTCTTGTCCACCTCACCCTGGGACATGTGATCAACAAGTAGGCCGGCCAACAGGGCGAAAACTCCCCACCCTAGGGAACCGCACAAACGCTGCTTGCCGTACAGGTGATGACGCTCCCCGAGGATGCCAAAGCAAATGGCATCACCAATGCTGACCACCACCGCCATGCCGATCCAGCTGAAGATGAGCAGGCCGAAGAACAGCCAGAACTGCGGCATGGCCATGGCACTGCTGGTGTTGATCACAGCACTCTCCGCCAGCTGCCCCTTGAGGTAATCCTCCTGGCAGTCCATGGTGCAATTGGCTTGGAAGTACTCCTTCTCCGGTGGACAGTACAACGTCACGTTTTGGTTCGCAATCTGGCCCTGATCATGGGGAATCATGAAGAACATGCATGTGTTATCATTCTCAATCCTCTGCATGTTGAGGCTGGTCCCGAAATGCAGCTGAGGGTTCGTGCGGTTGGCAGCACAGTTGTCCGTCTTGTTCTGCAACCAATCCTGGCACACTATGTCCCACATATAGGGCTGGGCCTCGCAGTTCAGATGGCAGTTCAATGTCTGATTTCCGTAGTACCGCTCAATGTTCCGTTCGACGCACTCGCCGTACTCCGAGCAGAATCTCACGGTGGAGGCGCCCTGGTGACAGTGGAACTGCACCTTGGGCAGCGGCTTATCCATTCCCGGCACGAACATTATAAGGAAGAAGGCGATGCCCGTGAGCACCTGTCCGCCAAGAAAGAGAGATCGATGGCGATGGTACCTTTAGATGAATGAAAGATTAATAAATCAAGAAATTTAGATGGTTAATAAATTGTATTATTATATTTCATCTCTTAAAAAGTTTATAAAAAATTATATAAAATTAAAAATAAAATCTTAAGTTAAATATTAAAATAAAGATATATGTTAAAAATTGTGTGACTTACAACGACCAATACCGTATCGATCTAATCGACAACCCAATAACAAGTGGTTGTAAACTAGATACTTTTCAAAAATTTATGTATGTAATCGCGAACTAATCTCAACTATGTAATTATAGAAGTCACGTAGGGCAATAGTATAGTTAAATAAATATCCAAAACGTTTTTAAAGAATTGATATGATAGCACCCAATACATGTCACTCTTATCTTCATTTGTTTTACAAGAAATTAAGCTTCTATATATTTCCATAGACAAGCAAATTTGTGATTACTTTATTAAATTCTAAGTAACCTAAATCATCTACACTATTATTTAAATACCTATTTCCTGATAAAAACGGAGAGTGTTTCTGTTTACATAGTAGGGGGAGGTATACAATCCATTGTGATATACAGATTAGTTAGATCGTCTTACCGGTCTGCAATGTAACCGAATAGGGGCTTCGCCAGCATTCCGATGATGGGCAGAACCGTGTACATGGTGCCCACAACTGCAGGGGAGTATCCCAGCTGCCCGGCCAAGGTCGGCATAAAGGGGACGACGGGAGCGGTACCTAGATAATAAAGCAGAAAACACTAGATTACCTTATAGACGCGTTAGTGCTGATAAGTGGATGAGTGAGTGGGTGGAGATATGGATATGGGCAGTTAAAAATGATAGCGTATGCTCGTCTACTAGTGGGTGTTTCTCCCTAGGCGATAAGCGAAGTCTACCGCAAACAAGTGAATTTAGATATTACCGACTCGTTTTGAAGTATAACTTAATGGTAATTGAATTAAAAGTAAGAGTAAGCTTTAATTGCTGAAAGTGGCCTGGCTGTCGGCACGTCTTAACTTTTGATGAGTTTCGGGGAGCGGCAGGTCACTGGGCTCTTGGGGCTGTCAGTAAATCTTGTTTCTTAACCTTTGCCCACATTTGACAATTGGATTACGCCGTGTTTCTGGTCCGTAGTTCTTAAAAAAGTTTAGTCATGGTATAAAAAACTTTGGGAAAAAATTATCTCACGTATGTATGTGCTTGTATATTCACGAATAATCTTCTTTATAACATTGCTTTCTTTTTAATAAAGGCTACAAAGTAGACGATGTACAGCGAAGCATCACACAAATTTCTTAGATTTGCAAATTATAGCTAAATTTATTTTATATTTAGCTATTTTCTAAATAATATTACGATTTCCTATCTCAATTATGCGGAAATTAAATGTGAGTCAATTCAGGCAATTAAAGTAAGATTTTATACAATTAAATTTTGTACCCATGTGGCTATAACTCAAATAAAGTGTTCAATTAATTAGACCCCAGACATTTTTGTTTAGAACTTTCCACTCCAATATAAGGCCATAAAAATGTTAAATTAATTGATCTGATTGCCCATACAAATTCTTTATTCGCAAGTGTTCATTTAATTAGACAAGCCCATATAAGTAAGATTTTTAATCAAATATTTTATGGATATAAAAAATACTACAATTCTAACATTAGACTTGGGTTTACAAAAGTTTTGACTATGTAGGTAATCATAGTTCTTAACGGAGATTCGGAGGATGGTTTTTTATCGGCGTTTTACAAAAAAAAACTTCTAAGTGCATGATTTTTTATATAAAAGTGTTTTTTCTCTCTAACCATTTCAGTGTTTTACCCTGCCATACATTGTTTTGTTTTAATGTTATACTATGAAAAGCAGGGGCATGTTCAGGTGTTGTTTTGGGGGTTCAACCACCAACTCTCCTATCGCACGCAAAACATTGTTAAACCTTCGAAAATTAAATCCTAATAACACAAAATATTTGTCCTCATGCATTTTTAATGTGTTTGTAACTTATATACCAATTCCAAGTTCTTTATGAAGTAAGTGTTCAGTTGATTGGTTACGATTACATGGTGTAAACTTAATGAAATTGCCGTAATACACCAATTAAAAACCGACAAAGTGCTGCATCACTCGATGGGAAGTGTAACCCCAATCGGCCTGTATTAGCTTATCGCTAGTACTATACTAGTAGTATTCTATATTATACTATCGTCTCTATTCTGGGTGTGTTTCTTATCTCTAAACGTGGGTGCAAGTGCTCTAATATGTGACGAAATCGAAGCACTGCGGAGATCAAAAGTTCGACGCAACCAGCCGAACATTAGAGCTCCAGCACGTGCATGCCTGCGAAAACGAGAGAATCTAATCGTCTGATGTAAGCGATGCGCGGTACTTAACTTAATGGGTTTTTGGGGGGAGCTGCTTACCGGCATTGAAGAGAAAGTAGTGCGCCTTCATGGGCAACAGCTCCTTATCGATGGTGGCCTTCATTCTGGCGTAATTACGTTGACCCGCGGCCCAAAGATCAATACTAAATGGCGATTTATCGTTGCTAAACTAGCGCGTTCTCCAGTTCATTCACAAAAAATGCTAGGGCAGGCAGAAAAGCATGTGCCAGCTCACTCACACAAGCGAACTCGGGTGCAGGTGTTGTTTTTGCTATGCCAGTACTTGTGCCCGGGATCACGTTTCTCCTCCAATTGGACTCCGCTGCATCGGGCGTTTTTTGTTTTATGAGGAATCAACACTTTCCGCTCGTCGTGTAATCAGAACGCCGGAGAACTAGTCGCATTTTTAGCCCAACCGAAAACGCTCGCCACGCACAATCCGCGGAAATCAAGGGTTCCGACTAGACGAACTTCCAAAACACGACTGATGGGAACCGCTGCCGTTTCGAGCCGAGTGTCAACATGTTTGCTTGCTCTCGCCGTCGTTTGTTTACGGATCCGCCTTATCTGCGGCACACCAATTATTATAAACTCAATACGCCCACCGACGAGCATGAACAGCCGCCCGGCAGGTCGGTTTATTAGCCACACTAAGTAAACTTAAAAATAAACCCAAATGGCAAACACAGCTGATTGGGCTGCCCAGGGATGGGAGATGGTCAAGCTAGAGATGGCTCACGGAACTCACGGGCTTTCGCGCAAAAATAGAAAATAATTCAAAAACAAAATAAATGATCAAAAGATAAACATTTAGTTTTACAAGAAATTGGTAGAGTTACATAAGTACAATGACTAACCAAAGGTTCACTTAATCGCAGCTTCTAAGTTAAGAATAAATAAGGTACATTTTGTAAAGCTCGACATTAAATGTACTTATAACAAGATACCACTGTTTCAGTTTGGTATGGAAACACTTTTCTAACAAAATTAACGATGGTTTCATAATTCCCTTGAATCATCATAAAACTTTACTCACACTCCCAAGAACTAAAGAGGTGTGCTAGAAATGGTAGTGGAAGCAAAACCCATGCTCCTCACGCAGAGGGGACAAACACGAATACCTCTTTTTTATGCACATTTATATACGCATTTCATTTGTACAATTTCGCTCGAACTATTAGGTAACTTACAATTACAATGACTCTATGCGTGAGATGGGGAACACGGGGAAAACGTGGCTAATTGCAGGAGCCCTTATTCATATATGTGGCTGTAGTGCTGCTGATATACGTGTATGTAGTTCTCCTTCTCCTGCGGCGTCATTTGCGCTATCAGGTTGTCGTCCAGTTGGTCAAGGGGATGCGGCCTTCCTGCCACCAGCACAGTGGGCACATCGTCCTCCTCCTCCGCGGAGTCCGAGTTGATATAATTGTCAAAGTCGACATCAGCTGTAAATTTAAATAAAACTATTAAAATGGGTACAACAGGTAAATGCTACTGCTCCAATCACTATAAAGAATGCTTTAAAGCCATGAATTAATTTACGAAAGCTGTATGACTACGAATCCTTCAGAGATTCTTCTATTATTTGGCATTAATAAGAAAACTAAATTGAGACCCTTACGAATCTTGGCGTTGTCGATATCCTTCTCGTCGTCGCTGGAATCGCTGGAGTTGGCGTTCGAGGAGCCCATGCGCATGCCTTTCATATGCGGCTCCTTCTGTCCCGGCTGCTTCTCGTGCTGCAGCAACACGGACATAATGTCTTCGTTCTCCTTGCGGTTGCGATGTCCGGATCCGCTGGCCGTCTGCACCGCATCGCCCGCGCCATCGGTAGCGTCCGTGTCGGTTATCACAGTGCTCTCGGTCATCCAAATGGGTCGGGACTTGCGCTCCACCACGGCATCCGAGGTGTCGTCGCCGCCGATGGTGACGTCCACGCGCGTTTCCTCCACGGCGAAGCCCTGGTTTCTCGTCGCCTCACCCGACCACGCCAAGCCATCCGGTCGCATGGCGTTGGGCTTGTTCAGTCCTCGAATGGTATCGATGTCCACAGGTTCCGGTTCGAGTACCTCCGGCGCCAGCTTGATGCCCTCCACCTCTCTCAGCAGGTCGTAGAGCGGCTGAAGCTGCTCGTTAAAGTGGGCCAGCAGCAGGCGCGAGTCCTTCTTGGGCATGGCAGCGCTGTCCTCCTCCACGGAGCTGCCGCAAAAGGTGCAGCGGAACTCCAGGGTGGCCATGTCGAACAGCTGGTCTGCCTCGAGGTCCGTGAAAGTCTTGGAACACGTGGAGCACTTGAAACTCGCCCGGCTGGTGGCATCCCGCTCCTCCGTCTCCATGCGCTTGCGCATCAGATCCAGCTTGTACTTAACCACGTTCACAAAGGTCTTGTAGTTGATGAAGTAGTAGTTAACCTTCTGGGCCTTGCCATCAGGCCCCGTTTCCATTTTCAGCCGGATCTGGATGAACTTGTCGGTGCGCAGCGTTGTGATCCTGGCCCTCAGCTGCTTCTTTTCGAAGCGCAGCAGCTCGCCGATGTCGTCCTCCTTCATGCAGGGATTCCGCACCAGCATGTCGATGATGAGGGCGTCCTCCAGGGAGTAGAATCCACGGACCACGAGGCGGGCCAGTTGCTTCAGACTGCTGGGCACCTCGGTCACGTAGCGCACCTCTGTTTTCGCAGGCGCTGTGGTCGAGGCAGCCGCCGATGTCGACGACATCGTGGGTTTGTCTGGAGGATCGGCAATACATTTAGGATAAATAGTCCTTTTTGTTCGGGGGCTTCACGCAACTCACCAGTCTCTCAGATCCGAAACTCTTGCAGAGCCTTTTTTCGGTTATTCACTGTGTGCGGTGGGTCTGGGGATCTTCATGGGTCGTCCTGCGGTCATCTGCTCCCTATTTTCCTGTACTTTTCCTGCTTTTCCAGGGCAAAAATAAAAATTTCCGCCGCCAATTTTCTTTTGGTGTATCGGAGTGGCCAGGGCTGGCACTTTTAAAAATACCATTGTGTTGGCAAAAAGACACTAAATATGCCACATCAATAGGTGGAGAGCGTAGGTGGAAAACTAGCGGTTACACAAACCATTTTTGGGCGCGCCTAATCTAGGGCATTGCCTCATCAAATTTTTCAAAATTAAATTTTTTAATATGACCGTTAAGAATTATAACATGTTCTTGAAAATCAACTTAAATTAAAGGAATAGGTTTAAAAAGTAAACATATTCTTCTTCTGTAAAGAATTTTTTTAAAGTTTGGATAAGAGTTATTTTTTTTTTAAATTAAAACCAAAGCAGTAAACCTAATAAAACGATGTCAAAATAAGAAACAGAAGTGAAAATCATTCTCATTTTAGTACTCAAACTTAATAAAAATTAAAATATATTCACATGAGAATATAACTGACTCATGTTTGAAGAAAAAATATTTCATATAATATATTTGTGATGTTCTATAAGTGTTTGCTATGCACTTAATTTGCGGATTGACTTTATCAAGAGCTTCGCATATGAGCGCTGTTAGCTTTCAAATGGTTTTGGTCGCACAAAACAAATAAGTGAAAATAATCCAACAAGTCGCTCTTTCGCCGCCTTTGTTTATCCGGTCGAAGTGCTTAATATTTCATGCTCCGCTGTCTAGGGTCGTCTATTTTTTAATGCGAACTTCGCCTTACGTTCGAGTGCATTTTGGTGTAATCCCCCAGAACGACGCTCGCCCACACGAAAAACCCCTGACTACACAAACAAAGCAGCCGCCGCGGGGGTGGACTTCTGCCGGGGTCAGAGGTCGGGGGGCAGACGTCCCCTTGCGTGTTTATTTGGCTGCCAGCACACTTCTGTTGTCCTCGCTGAATGTCATGGATATAATTGGGCACACAATGCGAAGTCCGAATCAGCTGCTCCATGTTTACAAATGCAAAACCCACCAGACTGAATAGAGTGAAATTTATCGGTCGAGGAATTTAATATTTAAACAGGCCTTCTATTTTCTGGACGACTTTTTTAAAAGTTATAAGCATAGCAAGGTACATAAGTATAATCCTTTATATTTCCTAGATATTGTTAAGGTTCTTTAATCTAATGCACAGCACAATTAATGATCCACATTTGTATCTTAATTTTCTGATAAAATTAAAATAAAAAGCCTATCGGTTATGAATTTTTTGAAATGTTTTAGCAAAAATTAGACTAATTTTTTAGACAATTTATTGATTTGGACAAAAACAGAAAAATGTGCAGATCAACTAAAAATACAAATACTCTTTTTCAAACAGGTAGAAAAACATGATAAACTTCCTAGCTTAATAATACTTTATATATACATATATATTTTTATATATGGTTTATATATATCCAAAGGTATTAAATTAATAATTACGCATTCAAAGTTGAAATGCCTTATTAATTATCTAAAAAATGGTACTACTAAAGGAGTAAAACTGTTTACAGTGCTAACGGCTGCACGTGAACACCCACGGGCGATCAGCCTGCGGAGATGCCTGAGTTCCTCGGAAAAGCCTAGGTTTTCCGAAGGGCGGGCACCACCCCCTTTAGAAACTCCACCTGAGCTTGTTTACCTTGCATCGAAGTGCAGGGCGCAGACTCTCCGAGAAAATGTACAGGGGAGTAGGCCGAAAGTGTTCTGACGCTTTTCCGAAAACCAAGTCGCTGCACCCCCTTAGCACTACGCCCATGGGAAAAGCTTTTCCGCGCGAGAAGGAGAGAGCGAGGACTACTGCGCAGGCGCCCTCTCTTTCGTTGCGGGAAAAACAGAAACAGGCTTTCCCACTTTCGCTGGTGGCATCCGCCTGCAGTTCGAATTTTGAGTCGTGCGCGCTAACGCTCGTTTTCCTCGCTTTTCCGCTCGACAATTTTCCAACGGCGGCCACAACAATTACAGGCGACAAAAGCGTGCAAGCACTGTTTTTTTGTTTTCGAACGTTTTACTGCAATTTCCTTCTCCGTCTGCAAGACGGCGGACTTTTTTGCGGCTTTGGTTTTCCCGTTCGCGTGTGTTTTCCTCGGTGATTCTGTGTTTTCCGCTGCGAATACGGGACCTTAAGGCAGGCAACGATAAAAACACAAAGGGAAATTGGGAAAACGCGGCGTCGCAACTTTTGCCAAATTGATTTTTATTGTGTGAGACGCAGAGTTCAAGCATTATATAAAGAATCGAGCGAGGAAAAGGTTGGTTTCAATAAGCACCCAAAAAATGCAGAATGTTTTGAAATATAAGTTGGAAAAAATATACACAAAATAGGAGACCTTTAATTCAGTTAATGCATTATTTTTGTTGGCTGCACGTGAAATGTTGTTGGCCAGTTTCACCCTCTGGTGAGGAAAATGTAGAAGCTCACCCTCGAAAAATAGAGAGCCGGTCGCTAACCGCCCCCAGGGGGTGGCGCCACCCCTTCGCCCACCGCCCACTCGTCTGTGATGTCATACCACCCATTATCCACCAACCACCGCCCACCGCCCATCGGCGTAATCGCACTAATGGTCTTAGACATCCTGGCGCGTCCTCTCGCGAGCTTGATTGAGCCCATTGATTTGCGGATTTCTTGGTGGACTCCTTTGCATAACGACATCGATATCTGGAGAACCATCCTTTAAAGCGGCTGCATATGCACTATATACCATGTACAGAGTGTGTATATAGACGGCCTACTCCACAAATCAGGTCAAAGTTGCATAGTGACCCAGAAACGAACACTGACGTACGGCAAGGATATAAGTTGTGGGGACTCAAGTCGTGACTGGGATTGGGATTGGGATTCGGATGGGGATTGGGACTGGGATGACCTGGAGATTGCGTTGGGCAAGTTCAATTTGCATGTGGAACAAGGCCCCGAGTGGAAAGCATTTTTCGATGCAATCAGAATAAATCATTTGCAAACTAAAGCGGTTGCGTTCTACGTGGCGTGCTCCATATGCAATCGAATTGGTTTTTGTTTCTGAAGTGAAACCTTTTTTTATTTCCAAGTGGATACACTGAATATAATTCACAAGAGTTTAATTTAAATATGTTTTTTACATATTCCCGCGTACCCTTAGAACTAGATTTAAAGACTTGTTATCTAAAAAATGTTTGCTTTTTTTAACTTACACATTTTAGTCTTCAAGATTGGAATATAAACATAACGATTGAAAAAAGGATATTCATAGATTTAAGTATTTTTATTAAATTTGGTTTAAATACCTTTTTTCAAACCTTTTATTGTTTAGATTTTAATGACTTAAATATGTTTGAAGCTTAAAATGTTTTTTAATGTGTGATAATTAAAATCCTTCATATTTCTCTAAGATTCAGGGTAAAATCTAAAAACGAAAAGAACACAACTATTACGAAATAGCACCGTTGTAATTATTTAATTGCTGCCGTAAGAAATCCCAAGGGTCCGACATTACTACGACAATTATTCTGAAGAACTGGGGACTTACATACCCCACCACATCCGTACGTGCAACATTTTTGCAGTCCCCGTGTTTTGTTCGCTCCATTCTTGTTACACATTTCCACATTTCCACATTTTCCCAGCTGATGAGCAGAACAACACTGAACTTGAGCGGGAAGCGGGGGAAAATATTGACATTCGCTATTCGGGAGGGTTACTATTTCTTTTCAGTCTCCGGACTTTGTTTTGTTTTGGGCGGAGAAAAGAGAGTGGAGAAAGGAGAAAGGAGGTAGGCGAGTGGAGAGAGCGGAGTGAAAACAACGGGGCGAAAATCGATACTGCTGGCCTGGCAGCACGCAGGCTTACGGAAAAGGGTCTTGGACCCGGACAACCCGTGCCTCCCGGATCCCCCGGATCACCCGGACCCTGGAACCCGGATCCGGGCGGCAATGTGGAGCAGGTCCTGGCACAGAGGGGCGGGACACGGGGGGCGTGGCGGTCGACGGTCGACGGTCGGCGCTCGGCGGGTGGAAAATCCAATAAGCACGCGAACTCGAACTCGAACTCAAACCAACTCCAAAAATAGACGTGGAGCCAAGCTGCGGAAAATGCGCACACAGCGGAGGGCACACAAAAATGAAATACACTACCAGGCACACACAACCACCCACTCGACAACCCCCAAAAACACTCTAACACACTCGTTGAAAAAGACCCATATTTACTGGTGCACAGAGAAAAAATACTAGTTTCAAATTTGAAAAATTTTCCTAGGTATAGATATATATATAGAATATCCATAGATATTCTTCGTGTGAATCGTCTGCTTACACATTGAAAATTAAAAACCCACTCGACAACCCAACTTACTCGGTGAAACGAGAACATTTTCCGTACGATAACACGAAGAATTATTTTTAATTAGACAGAACTTATACAATTAAAAAATAAACAGATATTCTGAATTTTTAAGGAAATATGTATAAATCGTTTGATTTGATATTATTAGCTCATAGGTCATAACCATCTCATGGAAACATGCATTGATTTACGGGCACTCAAAGAAATAATCAAGTTGCAACCTAATAATAACAAGACTAAAGGCTTAGTTGTTACAAATATTAAAAAAATAGTTATTTGGAGTTTCAGATAAAGTATATATATTTTTTTTGATCACTGCGGACTGCAGTCATTTTCGTGACTCGACAACTTTGCGCTTAAGGGCCTTTGCTTATTCTACTTTTATTTTATTAATTTACTCAAGATATTAAACATTTTAAAAACAAAACGTTTGTCTTGTGTTAGAGTATTCTTGATTTAAAACTAGTTATTTTATAAACTCGACTCTAAAGATAGTATTTTCTTAGTGCACCTGCGCCTCACATTATGCTGCACATTTGCTGTTGCCTCACCCAAAATAGAGCAAAAGTTTCTCCAAATTTTAGTTGCATGTCGCAGGAGGCGATGGGCGGGGCACTGGGTGGGGAAGTGCACTTTCCGGAATATTAATCAAATTACTTAGTTTGTAATTAAACATTTTAGGGCAGGTCAAAGATGTGGGTTTGCAATTGCTCGCCAAATTGCTCTTGAAAGCTTGGTTAA